TGATCCATAAAATTAGTTCACAAAGCATTAAAATTGGCGTAAAAAATATGGATATTATTTAAATTAATTGATCCTTAAGAACCGTAATGCTGTTCGAGTCTTGATTATAATGGTACCAATAGAGTAGTATTTCCTATCACTTTTTCATAATGCCAGTAGGTAACACACTAATATGCCGCATGTTCTTCAACTCTGGAGGACTAGAGGGCACTATATTATAACGACCGTGAGCAATATAATTAGACCCGATTTGCCGCTACTTAAATAATGATCAATGAATAAAACACCTATTGCGAGTGTATAGTGAATTTGAATAACACCCAATTTATTATTATTGAGTACGTTTTTTTTTTTACATTCTCTCTCTCGCGCGCTCTTCCATATTACTCCAAGGTCTTGGTCTTATGTAACCTTAGGGCTATACCGATCTGAAGACGGGTTAAACGGACGTATAATGACTGTATAGAATTCGCATTAAGTTTTATTAGATTGCGCAGCACCGCGCGCGGAGAGATAGTTAACAGAAAAGGAGTATAGGTACCGAACCTAGTGTGAGAGAGACAGAGTAAGGGTGATTGGATGGACAGCCGGTTCTATGATAATCATACTATTATAAGAACATATTAAGTGCACTAACTTCCTGAAGCTATTGGGTTCACAATATAACTCGTTTTTTTTTCTCGAAATATACTGTACCCACACGCGAGTTCTGCGGGTTTTTTGTCTTCTTTTGCTAGTGCTGGTCTCCCAAAATGCAGGTAGTATACCTATTGGAATACATACACCCCAGACATTACGGTAAACCGGTTCATCGCATTTGGCCTACTAGATCCACATGTTTATATGTAGACCGATGTATGATTTTCATTATTGTTATTTTGATTTTTTTTTATATRTATATACATAAAAATAACTGACCGAATTTGTTTACACTCCTAAGCTCTTAAAAGAAATCTTTTCGATAACTAATTGGAATAGAAAGTCTATACCTCTTATAGTTTTATTTTTTTTACAATTTTGCTTAAACGCAGAAAATTTATCCTCCCGTCTCATCTGCTGCAATGTATTGAATATTCACTATAATAATAGTTGTTTCTTGTTATCTGCCTACGTAAAATCGGTTTCTGTAGTTGATATTGCATAATAATCAATCTGTGTAATAAAAAAATATTTAAATCGACACGCGTGTTATGGAATGATATGACGTTGTAGTTTTCTTAAATTTCTCGCGGAAATGGTTTATTTCTGTGTGCTAAACAATTTATTATTTTATTTTTATGAGATGAATGAATTTACTGATAATAAAAAATATACTATTCAGTTTCAGAGGACGTTGAAGTTTTATTGTTATTATTATAAATTAAAAACATTTTAGATTTCTATGATTGTATAATGGCATTATATTAATCGCAATAAAACGCTTCATTAATATAAATAAAATATATACAATTTAATGGTGCGCGTTACGTAAACAGTAGGTATTCGACACAATTTTATTTTACTTTATATATCGTTGTCAATTACTATTTTATTAACTATTACAATAGAAACGAAGACGATATTATATTCAAATTAAAGCGGTCSAAGGTTTGGGTTTGGGCGAAGCAGTAATCTTGCTGTATTAAATATGACTTATTTTTTACTATGCATTTGCTATTTAGATTGAGATTGTAGAATTATATTGTATTTATAAATCACATAATACCAACAAAAATATTAAAGAATTATTACTGAAAAAATCCGGTATCGAATGTATGAGTATACTGTAATTATATTTATTTTTAATCGGTATTAAAGAATGACATTTTTTCTTTCAGTAAATATGTTTCAGCTTAAAAATGCACTGTTGATGTATTATTTKTGCAAGACAGTTCATCATCATATTTCGTAATATACATAATTTATTGTTTCACATGACTATCGATCTGTTGAAATTTACCATTCTATTATATCATCATAATTCTTGCAAGTTTAGCAAATAAATTAGGTACCGGCCAATTTTCGTTTGAGTAAATATTTTTCACATAGTATTATATTATTTAATAATGTATTTCTAAACTCTTATGAATTATTTCATCTTTAATCTTATATTTTAACATTATTCAAGTAATATTTGAAATAAATTAATTTATTAGTGCCATTAGTTGATCAATTTAATTTAATAAATTAATAGTTAAATAATAAATTTGCTCTAGATAAACATTATACACAAATATTAAAAATAATTCAGATTATATTTCAGATTTCAAAAATAAGAAAAACAATGCATTAAATTATGATTGACTTATAAACTCCATCAAACAAATGAGCACCCGTCAATACGGATAATTGTTTCAAAAATATGTTTGACATGAAAACCAAGTTGTAGCTATACGTTAAAAATGCAGCTCTTTATGATATGGAAAATTATTTCCTCACAAATAAAATATAAATTAAAATGTTAAAAAAAAATATTTATGTTATATACCGGGTGATTCAGGCATGCTTACTTCTTTTTTCTTTAATGATGAAGTTATTCAAAATCTAATTTTCTAAACATTTAATATACTTATACGTTATACAGTTATAACACTTGTTTTAAAATTATCGAGATTTTTTTAACATGACTTTGTAACAAGTTGAGTAAAAAAAGCTTTAAAATCCCATACAATATTCCTCACAAATTGTTTTACAGGAAATAAAATAAATTATATAAGTGTAGTGTTAATCAATTAACCCATAAACAATGTTTATTATAATTTTAATTCTAATTTTCACAAAATCAAATATCCATACGCCTCCAAAAAATTCTTATTAGCATTGTTAAGTAAATATAATAAATCAGGTTATTATAATAATAAATTGTTCATTATTCAACGAGTCATTAAATTTTTTTATCGTATTATGTTATTATTACGTTAAATTAATAGTTGGTTTCAGATACCTAATATTTAAGGGTTCAATGCAATATCTATAATTATATAGTATATAAATAATATTTATTAAAATGTACTTTTAAATAAATTTCACATAGTAGTCCAACCCTTCAACTGTTAATWAACTTTATACTGTTGGATATGCAGTCATCAATTTAAAATGACCAAACATTTTTATTTAAATAATTTCTCACAAATTATAAAAATAAAATGAAATTTCAGTATCACAATTTAACGTTCCAGTTTATAATAGTTATGGGTAACGCTGGCAATAAAATTTTACACGGAAAAATCCTTAAAACGCTCAGACGTTTTTCCATATGCGATTTAATTGATGTCGTTCTCATTAATAATGAATAAGTTACAATTACAAAAAAAATAAATTATTTATTTTCCATTTATTTAACTATATAACAGGTAATATTATAAACTATATGTAAATATTCCTATTATGTACTATATATATTTTTTTTTTTTTTTTAGAAATACGCCTCAACTACCAGGGTTATTAGCGTTTAAGATATACATGTTACAGTTTAATTATATTTACATAATGATACTAAAGTATAAAGAAGAAAAGTATATAAGATAAATAATATGATATCAATAAATATATAGTTATATTTTTTGTAGAAGGTTCGTTTCTTTGAGAAGTTCTWGGAGTGAAGATGTTCTTTCCGTGTTTGGTGCTAGTATTTCACATAGGTTGTTGGGGAGCATGAGTTTTTCTCTGGCATCTTTTGTGAGGAGGCATTCTGTTAGTAGGTGTTTGACAGTAGTCACGGTGTTGCATGAGGTGCATATAGGTTGTTCTTTTTTGCTCATTAGATGTTCATGAGTGTAACGTGTGTGGCCAATTCGTAATCTGTTGAGTACGATTTGATGTCTACGCGGGAGTGATGTGTTAGGCAACCAAGGGAGGGTTGTACTATATTTTATTACTTAGTATATAGTATATATATACTAAGTATATAATAGTATATAATATATAATATACTTTTTTAGGGGGGAACCCGCGGCAACATAAGCCATTGGGTGTGGGGTTGTACGGTAGGGGTTATTTTTGTAGGGTTTTCAGTTAGTAAGGTTGTAACACGTATTTGTGTATGTGTCGGATAAGGATATAAGGTATAAGGATATGTGCCGGATGGGTGACCATCCAGGAGCTAGCAACTGCGGCCGGTACGTACGCTCAGTGCGTTGCCGAAGATTGAGCATAATATATATATATATATATACCATATAAAAAGCAAATTTTAAAAGTAAAATCCCATTTCTTGATGTGTTCCTGAACAATAATATTCTGTGTAGAGTAAAAATGAAATATTTCTTCATTTGTTACAAAATGAAAAATTGTATTTAAATTTATTAACTAAAATTGTTAAGGTGGATCTTTTAATAATGCGGCTCGCATCAAATTAGCTTCATACATTTTTGGCCCAAAAAAGTTAGGTCAATGGTCACACCTAATATGTAGTATATAAGTAATAGGTATATTCATTTACGTCTGTATGACTACTGCACTATGGTTTATGGTTGTTGGGTTTTTTAAATTTTATATTGCCAATATATTTTATTGCGTATAGAAAATTTTATACGGCTGTAGTTTTTAATATTTATTTGATGTGTGGTATTATGATAAAGGAGCTAAAAGATGTATAGGTACTGTACCGAAATATATTGTGTACTGTGTACATTAAACATTTACAAACAACTATGACCAATTATATACGAATATACGCTGAGTTGTTAAAATATTATCGATACAAAATACGTCGTCGATTGATTAGTTAAGTCGATTTTTTCAATTACACTTACATGAGCATATTATATTTACAAAACTATATACGCCATTATTATTTTGTCAATATTTGTTATCAATATATGGGACATACTCATTACTCACATACTAAATTTAATGTATTATAGCGAACCAGTTTGTTCAAATTTTGTGGACCGGATTTGCATGGTACGGCGGTAGTGGTCGTGTGACCGGCCAGCCGTTATTGACAATATACCTATAGTATAGGTCTAGCACTATAACACGAGTATTTTCTTTTCGTCGAAATGCATCATCGAAAACGATTATACAGATTTAGTATCGGACGACGATCACAACCGTGTGGATTATGGCAGAGTTACGGCAGCGAGAATAGTGAGTAATGGTACCTAAATAATTTTATTAAAATAATTCGATGAAACAATATTTCGTAGTTTTTGAGAGACTTAACCTTGTCCAGTAAAAAAAAAAATGGTTTGGTTACAACTAATAATCGCGATACTTAAAATTATCTTCTGTAAGTGTACTCATRACACATTTTCTAATATTATTTTCATGCGAAACAGTTCGGGATCAAAGGTCACGGTCTATTAATATTAATGTAATCTTTTATGACCAGTATTGAGTACAGGTAACACAAATATAATATAATGTGTAAGAAATCTGCGTTATACTGCGTCTATTACCTACCTAGATACCTAAACAATAAAAACAATTATACAATACCTTTACAACAACAACGATATTCGTATGGTGCAACTACACGTCAGCTAGTTACTACAGTGCTGTGATACCTATATAATCAAGGTTTTCACACACGAGTTGATTTCGTGGTATCTTGGTTACTGTATATCTAGGTACGTGTTAAGGTAAAACTTTAGTCAGTGCGTTGATTTAAAATCATAAGYTGTTGGCTCGCGGTTGCTGATATATACTTATGAATTATGGTTTGATGGTCGCGTTTATGATGGTGGTGATACCTAATTACCTATCGCGATGGCAAGGGCGGAAGAGGTACCTATAATATGAGAACCAAACACTTCAGAGACAGAGACAGAGACGGAGAACGGGAGATATAGAGAGTGGCGAAGAGAGATAAATTCCCATGCAACTCAGGCGCCACACACGTTACTCATTGCGGATTCTGCACCAATATCGTGAGTTCTACAGAAAAAAAATCTTATACACATTATTATTGTGCGTGCGTGCGCGCGTGTGATTTGTGAACGTGTGTGTATGTGTGCGTGTCTGTGCKTGTGTGTGCGTGTGCATGTCTAACAACAAAAGGCCGGTAAAGCACTCGGTCTGCATTCCGCGAGCACAAAGTCGAAGAGACAAATTGAATTATCATATACGCACTGCATTTATAGCCTCCAGGGGTCAAGGAATATTTACCCTGACACTACAGAATAGCGCACTGTTTTTCTTTTCACGATAATACAGTAATAATAATAATAATAATAATAGTAATAGTAATAGCAATGGAAAAAAGACAACGATGAAAAAATAATAGGAAAAAGAAATGAGAAGRAATAATAATAGTAATAGTAATAATAATAATAATAATAATAAAGGTATGAGAAAAAAATAAAGCAACATGGCGCATGCGTGATAGGCGGTTTGGGGGGTGGGCATATGGTGGATTGTCTCTAAACAGGAGTAGAGGAGAGCATATGCGACAGTCCAGACTCCAGTTTGGATTTTATAAGGGCTCGGTTCCGTCGCACCACCGCCGGTAGCTGCTGCTTGAACGCCATATCGTAAACATTGTTATAAAAATTGTCGTGAATATAGTTTTTTTTTTTCGTCGTCGAACCATTAGATTATTATTTATTCATGTTTAATATCTATAATCGTGTCGTTGAAATTTATTATATTTAAATAAATCATATTTTTCAATAAATAAAAAACCCGTGGATTCTTCGAAATCGTCAAAAATAAAACATAATAATAATATAGTTGGATAACCGTTTCCWATCAATAACATTAATGGTGACTGTTTTCTACGGCACTGAATTCAACAAAACCGAGTAAGTACCTATACCGCAATGAAATAATTATTGTACCTGTATTGAAGGTAAATTATTTTTTTACGTATAATATAACTAATATTTTAATAATATTTCATACGGTATAATATTATACATTCTCGTCCATCGATTTTTTTTTATCTCGCGTATTTAATAAGCACTCGTTACATAATAACCGCGATCCGAGTGTACCTACGTCACCCCATCGAGTCATGGTTGCCCGTGCGGTTCAGGCAAAGTTCCAAATTATTCAGTGACGAATTCCGTGAGGGGATGTGACGACGCATTAAGACTAAAATACACGTGTGTTTTCTTATCTTGCAAACCTCCAGTCTCATCATTGTATCACGCGTGCCCTATTCGGCGCATTGTTTTTCGTATTTTTTTTTCTAATACCGTAGGTACGCTAAAAATAGATATTCTGCTGTCCGGTGACATGAGTAATTGTCATCGGCTCTGCATCACCACGATGCGCAAATGTTCATATTATAATATTATAATATAAAGTTAGACGGCGGTGGTGTTCACGAGGAACCCTCATTTAATTTGTATTGTCATCCCCCGAAAAGAGGTATCAAATACCTACACTTCGTACATAATATTGACGTAATAATGATTTCTCGAGTTTCGCCGTAATGGAAATGTGTATTTCAATACCTAGGTATGTGCATTACAATATAGTCGCAACAATAGTAATTTTTCAACTCCCGTAAATACACATTATTCTTTATAATATTTAGTTTTGGTGCGATAGCTCAAAAATGTTATATTGTGTAAATTGTATTATTCTACTAACATAATAAAGTATACACCTATATGCATATATATATATATCCTTCTAAAAAGGTGAATCAAATCAACCCTCTTTCGACCATTGTTGTGGATTCTGTAGTAAAATATTTTTTTTTCAATTCGTCTGCAGTTTAAATCTCCATCTTTTAATTCTTTTAGATGTTTCATTCGATCACGTTGTACTAATACTACTTATAAGTTGTTTACTATATATGTGTTATACTATGGTTGTACCTATCAGACATATATTATCTATTGATGTATTGTATAAAACTATACACGTTTTTATTATAACGTTGTAACTTTTAAGWACATTTATTACAACCAACCAACTCAATTTCAAGTGACACAGACAAATTGGTTGAATAATATTATGTTATGTTACATAATATTATTATAAACGATAAAATAATAATTTGTAGCCAATAGCATAATAATTATGAAGAGTGCCTGTATAGATTAAATACAAAAACCGGAGACTTACACCTATAGGCGTTATTATTATTGCTCATTTTAACGCTGATAAAAAATTGACTTGCCTCCTGTACATAAATCTAACATTAAAACGTGAGAAATGTACGTGGTTCTAAGTTTAGAACAAAAATTTTGTGTTTTTATTGCTTGGTACCAATTAATTTATTTCACAATATAATAAAAAAAGATCACTATTCTTGGGAAATAAAAAATCATATATCTACATAATATACGCAAACGTTATAATCAAAATGATGCGAATTCGGCAATATTCATCCATGAGGAGGGTTTCATGCTGCGATTTTATCGTGTGTTTACTGATTTTGTCAGAACTGCAAAATATAACATCACGAAAAAATTTACCTAAAAAAAAATGGGAACTAAATCTCGTGGTGTAGGCTTACACGTGTGTGTACTCGTGTACAAGTATGTGTGTGTCTGTATTTATTTTGTTTGTGTCTGTATTTACTTGTGAGTGTGTGCGAGTGTGTATGCCATTATTGACTAGTACAGTTTTTTTTTCGAAACAGTGGCTTTCCTTTCTAACTTCCAGGTTCTGTTTTTTCCAATACTGTTTTTTCTTTATTATTATTTTTTTWAAATGTTTTTTATGTAAATAAACTTGTTCGTGTCTTCTTTGTCTGTTTTTTCTTTCATTTAACGTGTTCTCTCCGTGTAAAATTAGCGACCAGTTGAAATTCGAACCCGTAATATCTAGATCTTCCATCCACTGCTCGTTTTGCTCCTCGCTTAAGGAAAAGTACACGATACCCCACGAGAAGTGCATTGTTCTTCTTTCGTTAAAAGAAATCTCCTCTATATATTTATCCCACTACACATAATCTGCTAAGAGGGATGACTAAGTAGGTATTSAACAAGAGATAAAAAAATATATTTATGTTAATATGAAAAGCTATTCGTCATTTTTGATACATTTTAATATACACGTGYATTTTAATTCTTTTTTTTAATGCTTACTTTTTTGTRATATTTAGGCGATGCTAGTACGGTTATCGTTGGTGGTATTAATGACCGAGTTGTTAACGGTGGTCGCCTTCAAACCGTTGGAGGTTAATTTAACACGCGATGTACCCTCATTTAAACCAGTGAATATTGTACCTCATGATTTTGATCACATTGTGTTAGTAACCAAATCTCGAACAAAGTAAGTGTTTTCATTTACTTATTGTTTTTTTTTTTGCATGTTCTATTTAGTAAAAATAATATAACCACATTTACAACTCTAATACTAACAGGTAAATGGTATTTTAATGTAATATTCATATTYAATTCACTTAAATTTAATTATACAACTGTAATAGGTTATAGGTTTAATACGTGTAATAATTTATTATATATTGTAACGTAATTAAATTATCGTCATACAATAATAATTAGTGTAATATATTATGTTCACAAATAATTCTGATTTCATGAGTAAATATTATTACAATTATTAAGTTTGATGATAATATAATGTTAAACTTCTATTAAAAATCCCATATAATTTATAATAAATAAATGAAACACATTATTTATTAAAATGACTACATTTTTTTAGACTTTAAGATTGTTAATTAATAATTAATATCAATAAATAAATCATAAAGATTAAAATACCAACAAAAAAAACATGTAAAATATTAAATTTTTATAGCGTAGGGTTTTCCATCCTAACCATGTTTGTGTCAACTTTCCRTTAGTGCATTTATTTTCTCATATGAAARTAATATATTGAAATAATAAATATCCAGAATATAAGTAGATAAATATACAAGTATAATTTTCTAATATTATATCTGTGTATTATACATTTATACATAAGAAAATCTGTTTTTATAATTATATAGCTTTAGAAAATATTTTTTCCATCTATAATTGTCTTCTTTTAAGTTCTAAATAAATCCACTTGTTTTTTCTTTGAAATGCGTGCACTAAATGTTAAAATAATTTTAATAACTACAGTGGACACACGTAAAGCTATTTAATAATAAGTATTAATCAATTATCGATGAGAAAAAAATGTAAAAATGTTACAGCAGAATCACGAAAATACCTTGTAAATATAGAATATATAAATAATAAATACATAGGTAAATTAAAAACATATAATAGGTTGAACTACAGTACTTAATATAATGTATATATAATATACATCATTATAATATAATATATATATATATATATATAATTTGTATAAATAGTTCTGTGAATTGTTTCATCTATAAATTATTGTTGAAGATGAGGGTGAGGCTATTCAGAAACAGAGGTATAATAACACGTGTGGTTACGCCAACGAGATCGCTTTATCGTTTTATTTAGCTGTTTAAAATTGTGCAACATTCATGTATAATGCCTAACTGGACTATCCGTCTTTTATCGTAAATTAATTTTGTTCAAACAAAAACAGTTTTACGAATATATTTATTACCACCTAGTGTGCAGTTAATMGTTAAATACAAGTCATTTATTAAATCAAGAATATTATGTAAAATGGTTTTAAATAAATCATCTGACCAAAATGTATTACAGTGTAATAATTTTGAGTGCCTATATCGTATAATTCCGTACTCAATTTTAAGCACATTGCTGATTTGAAAATTTTCAAAATATATATCATATATTTTACACGCAGGTATATAGWTTAAAAATTATGTTAAACGAAGTGTTTTAACACTTTGACTACATTCAACTATATAGGTAATCAAAAGTATATAAATTGTCATTTTTATTTTTATTTCATTTTATTTCACTTTATTTAGTTTTTCAAAGCTATTGCAACAATATGAAACTTAATAATATAATTAATATGATYTATTATTGTAAAAAAAAAATAATAAATTAGTAAGAATGTATATAGCATAGTATTAACTTCAATAATATGTAGGTACATAGCTGATTACAGGTAAATTATTTTAATCTTGGGTAGTTATGATTCTACTGAAAAATTGCATTTAGATAGTGATGCGTTTTATTTTAGAAAATGGTTATTAGTTGTTTATTAAAATTTTAAATATCACTSGAATCTACCAAAAATAATAATTTGAGTTCCATACAATTATTAAGTTAATATTATAATATTTTTTCGTGGAACCGTGAAAGTTTATATTAAATAAATACATAGGTAATACAATTATTACGATGTATATATATATTATTTTATTTTTTTAGATTTGTCTTATAAATTATAATTGTATATTTTTTCAAAGTTTATTGTTGAATAAATCACAACGAAAGTATTTTTAAGTATAAAATGCATAAAAAAACTATAACCTTGAAAATCATGGTCTACAACTATATAGGTAGCTGGCCGCCATAAATAATTTAATTTCTTGTCAAGTGCATTTTTTTAAATAGTAAAAAAAAATGCCCCTTAGACATACTATAATTTTATTATTACAATAAATAATATAATATAGTATTTGCGGACAAAATTGTTCACATGTTACAGTTAATAACAGTATAGACGATAATAATATAGCCAAGTGGATTAGTCTATACGTTCACTGCAGGGATTTTTTATAGTTGATATGGCCAGATGTTGATTTCTAACAATAATAAGACAACAATTAAAATATTAAAATATTTAAAATGATTCTTAATGTAATAATGTTAAATTGAAACTTATCGAAATAAAATAAATTTTATCTGTATAATATAATAATTTAATTTAAAATTGACATTTTAGATAATGCACTTAGGTATTTTTCACTCGCAGTATAATTGTATTATATCCCTCTATAAGGTAAATTTATCAATATTGAATATTAATATAGTGAATGTCAAATATAGTGAAATTAAGTATAAGACATAACCTAATATTATCCTATTTTAAAATACACATTCATACGGAAATCCGTGTTACGCGTATTTTTTTTCTTCTGAAAATAAATAAATGTATAGGTTCTATTTTTCAATTATGTGCATGGTTAAAAGTTAAAACGCTATGTTTTATTTTTAAATATAGGTAGGCATAGACTTTAATTCTTACGTATAATTATTTAGGAAAAAATATATAATCACCGTTATTAAAGACTACTTTAAACGTTTATCGATAAAATATTATATTGAAAACTATTTGAAGAGTTTAGCTGAAAATAAAATTACCGATGGATTYCGGACGTCAATGTCCTCAACAATAGTTTCTTTTAATAAATCTTAGTAATATAATTTATTTTGAAAAGTTTCTGTTATTTTTTTTTTCAATACGAAACACGAACACGTGAGCACACATTATGCTTAATAATACTGCATGCTAACAACGGTAATTCATCTTTATTTTATTATTATTATTTTTTCTTATTTAGCATTATTGCCGAATAATATAATGTCTATTGGTTACGTAGTGGTTGTGATGTGCCCGGTGCACCGAATTGTACGTAGGTATACTAGTATACTACCGGTAGGTACCGCAACCGGTTATGCGAAATGCGTATTGATCAGAAATTTTGCACAGGTGGTGCATTGATAACACGAACCGGATACCACACGCGTAATAATAATAATATGACGTCGTTTGAATATTTTTTTTTAAATAACAAAAATAAAAAAAATAATAGAACTGCTATGCTGCATAACAATCCAGAGCCGTTGTGGTGCTCGCAAGTCACATTGACAAACGGAGTGATTATGTATAAATAATAAATATAATATATCTGCAGTACTATGCACTATGGTTCATGACCTTTAACATCAACGTTTTCGATAGCAACAATGCAATTATTATTATTATTGTTGTATACTTCCTTGTGATTTCGTACAATAATGTCCGCGTTATTTTATACGCGYGAATGTGGAGGAGGTAGTAGGTATAGCCAAAATTAGCCTTGGCCCAGATAAAAAAAAATAACCATAGTCTAGACACTCAGGATTCCGTATCCAAGTGGAATCTAAATGCTTATAATGCGTTTGCGCATAATAATGTACACTTACGTTGCATATAATATGTGTATTATATTGTTCACGTACCTACTCGACGAGCGAACATTATAATTAGAAAGATATTTTTCACGACAATTTTTCGCATCCTTATATCACCGCACTTTCACATTTTCACCTTTTCCAGATCATTTTTCTCTTTTATGGTTTTATTTTTTTTATTTAGGTACCTATACACACATCACGCACARTAACTGCACAAGGCGTGTATGATACAAAATGTGTCCCTCGTCCCTTTATTTTGGTATCTGCCCGCAGTGTTGGCCCTGCAAACGACATACTCAGTCTGTATTTGTATGGAATGTCTTGTCAGTTGTACGACACGACCACACCTGCACGTACTTTTAGTATATTACATCAGAGTAGATTAACGGATACAAAAATTGTAAAGATTTCGTACGTTTTTTAATATGATATACRAATATTATACCTAACTGTATTTTAATTTTTTTTTTGAGAATCATTTTTTTATTTAGCAATTGTTTGTGTTAATTTATAGTTAATCCGCGTAAAATTATATAGATCATAGTAATGTGACACTTGTCACATGTGATAATTTGTTAATCRAAAAAATTTTAATTTTTAAAATCCAAATATTAATGATAGCCGTGTACATTCACCATTCGGACAAAGTTTTAAAACGTAAATAAGTTCAGAAATCTTGCCATTATCATGAAAACACGTCGTACATGTCAAATATAAATAAGCTATATAAATAATGTAGGTATGTTTCTAAAATAATTTCCATAATTTTTTGAAATAAAAATAACAATTCCTTAAAAAAAATTAATTCAGTCCCAAACAGTATTCATGCAAATTAAATGGCTGGTACAATTTAAAATTATATTTTATTTTTGTCGAGATATATTGAGTTGAGCATAATAAGACACACGTGTTATGGTCCAAAAACCCTATTTAAAATTTAAATGCAATCGTACTGCATGTCATTGCTGCGTAATGCTTAGTCCTACTTACTTCAGAACAATACACGTTTATTTTCAAATGATCCATTACAAGAATTCCAGGTCGTCGCCAACAATCGTCAATAACGATCGTATTGTAATAGCCGACAACCCTTTGATGTTACGGGTGGTCTTTGTCTAAAATACAGTTGTTAAATAGCATTTGAAATAAAGGTGTATATTATGTGTATGTTTTTAATAGGTTTCACATTTTGATACACCAAGACTCCGACCGGAATCTTTCCGTGACCGTCACACCATCGTGCAACTCCGTGATCAACTGGGAACTGAAGTTTATACCTCTAACAAGATTTAACCAACCAGTCATTATATTATGTAAGTTTCAATTGAGTGGAACTATTCTATACTTAATTATCAATCAAATGAATTMATTTTTGTATTATGCATTGCCTACACATGTATTATTTTCCCACACTTTATAGCGAACAACAATACGTCGAATGATATCGGAAGGTTACTCATAGAATACACGGGTGTATCCATACCTGTTACGTATGAACACGGCAGAGCGAATAGAGGTCTTTACGTTATATCAGCTCAGATGGCAACGGGCGACGATTCAAAGGTTATGTTTCATGTTGGTCTTAAACAAAAGTCACAAAAAAAGCAATTTGGYTTCCGTACAAATGGAATAAAAATCAAAAAAGGCGGCCAAAAAATTTATTTAAGATGGAATCTAAGGTAAGTTTTAAGTAATAAATTTATGTCAGAGACATAATATTATAAAACTGCCTAAAATTAATGCATTATATTCTGAACATTAGCCATATAGATCATCATTTAATGAAGTACAGTCTTGTGATCAGTTCATCAAAAATATACTCGACAATCTGTGAAGCTGAAAATCGTTTGGAAGAAAAACTTAAAACAAATTTGACATATTATGAGGATGATTTACGACCTGACGATCGATTAGAGGTATATGTTTTGAATTCTTGATTATTTTATAAAATAAAATACTTAACGAAATTATTGACATACATAAGTTATAATATACTTATATATATGGCACAAAGTCTATGAGACTAATATTTTTTTTTTTGGCTTAGTATAGGCCATTTAGGCCCTTCGCCGCAATCACCAGACTAAAATTATTATGTTATATGATTTATTATATTAGAATTTTACGATCGGAGTTTAGTATCATACGATAATGCATTTTAAAGTTATTTTATTGTTTAGAATACCTAATAGACGCTCTAATAGTCTAATGGACACTTAGTATACAATTTTAAATCAAATATTGGTAGGTACTAGCATAATAGTACTTACATAATAGTTGATATTGCTAAATATTATAATATTATGTTAGTTTATAATATTATTATTAGCATTATTAAGTTAATAACTTAAAATACTACAAAACAATTAATTAACTAATTTTTTTTTTTTTTTGCTCAAAACTACTTTAATTAATAATTATTAAAGTAAAACCTCGATTTTTTACAGTTCATTTTAAGAATAATAAGTACATAAAATGAAAATCATATTAAAACAYAATAATATAATGTCAAGTATAATTTAAGTAATTTCGTACTGTATATGGTATATTGTCCATGGATAAACTATATGTAACTATCTATTGCGCTATTAGTATTATTTTACTCACTTTTATATACCTATATGGATATACTATCTATAGTATGTGAAAAAAATTATAGATCAATCTTTAACATATACCTATATTTATATCACAAATACTTTGTTGTAATTTAGATACATCATCTGGATCATAATACAAGTTATACGATGACTGATTTAATCTATGACGAAACGTACTATTTTACTGTATTTGTGTTCCATGAACTTCATATCGCCACACACCACGCAAACGCTACATATAAATTTCAAAAGTCCAAACCCATTGGACTAAAAGATGCGAGGCCCAGAATGATCAACCTGAGGGCTCAAAATGGAAAAGCATCCTTCAGGTACAAGGTTGGTGGGCTGTTTATTTGTTGTGGGAAACATATGTGTGTGTTTTATTTGTGCAAAATTATTACGATTATCATTTTAGGTGGGAAATAATAGGCTGTTGGAAAAATATGCTCCTTCTAATACATTATATTGGTACGTTATGCCATGCGATGGAGTAGTATTCGTTGAAATCCGTTGCCGAAAGAGGTTATTAATAAGCAAAAGAGTTTTTGGTTACGAGAAATTCATCATAAACAACACTAAGAGTGGAGAAAGATACGTGTTAAAAGTGGAATCCGTATCTGTTGATGAGACTCAACGCATCAGATCCATTGAGGTTGGTGTGTAAAATTAAATTYTTTAAAAATATAGTAAACAATTTAATAATATCCAACTTATAATAATAAGTATTATAATATTAATATATTTTGTAAAAATTATGTCTTTTTTGAAATAGGTGATGGCCACCGTACGACCAACGATGATTCCA